AAAACATCCTAGCTGAGATTTAGTATTTCCAAGCACACACATTCCCCTCAATCCTGACTTTCTGAGCCATATCTGTTCCAAGCAATGGGTGTCTGTTTTCCTGTTGATCAGGAGGAAACAGACTGATTTTCCTTCTCTCTCTCATAAACAATTTGTGGTGCAACATGTAGACACAGGATCCCTATCTCAGTTCGTCCTTGTGCTGGAGATCACTCATGGAAAGAGGTAGAAATGTCACACTTCTGCATCCTGGTCAACAAGAGAATGGATTTCTTGTTACTTGCAGCAGCTTCTGCCCACTAAGTCAATTTTGAGGGGACGTCTGTTATCCCTATGCATTTCCCATAATATTGAATGTGTAAGAATTGTGACCATGAATCAGTTATGAAATACATCTAAGTTATGCATTTATAATAGCAATCAACAATTCTAGCCCTCATTTGTTTCAACAATATGCCTTTTTGGAAATGCTAGTAACAGATCTATTCCCCACGTGCAAAGATCAAGCTTCTAGGAGATGGCTGACAAAGAATTAAACCCCTTTCTGATCCCATTCTAGGGCATTGACCTCAATTAGGGACCTTGTGACTAATAACTACTACTCTGCACTGTGAATTATATAGTTTTGCCCTGAGCCTTCATTCATTTAGAAAGAAGAAGGATTTCCAGGACAAACTGAATAATCTCTAGGCAGATCTGAACCTGGGCATCCTTCCTAGTGAATAAGCACTATACATATTGTGTATTTGGTTGTACAGATGGAAAAGCTGTTGAAAACAAAAATTGAGGGAGTGCTTGTGGTTTTTGCTTAACCGGTTTTAATTTACATGAGTAGCAAATAGGTTGCAAGCTCTCCTCTATAGTTTACCATTTTAAAAATACCAATTTTTTCAACAACAACAAAAACAGACATTTATATCTGGTCATTTACAGGTTTTGTTTTGTTTTCATTTTTTGGCAGCCCATTCATCTCTGAGAAACAGAATATTGGCTCTAAAACTTGCTACACTTGTCCAATCTAGCCTACACACGGAGTAGAATAGCATTTCAGGTTTCGATGCAGGCTTCTTTTCAAACCCTGCCACCTGGAGCTGCTAGAGACAGAACCGGTGACTTCCTGGATTAAACGCTAGGTCTGTGCAATGACATGCAATATAGAGGAACAGAAAGTTCAGCCCAAGGTAAAAAAAAAACAAGGTTAAAAAACAGCGAAAGAGGCATCACTGGGATCCTGCAAAGTACATGTAATCTATAAGGGGAGGGAGAGAGCAATCAAACAACAACAACACGTATGGTGCAGAAGAGTGTAAGATAATATTTTTATGCCATTTCAAGAGAGATCTTTGGAATTGGGCTGAAATTGATAAAATTCACCGAGTAGTTTGTGTTGTGTGATTTTTCTATTGTGTGGTTATGTATATTTCAGTAATCTGGAGATTGTGTCTTACTTCATCATTAGCACAGCTGAAAAGAATGGCAGAGGATGAACATGGGGTAAAATCTCAGGGCTTTTTTGTTCTCCTGGTGACTTCATGAACTAATGCCGCTGCTCTGATAGCAAGAATTTTGCTCATGCTATGAAAAGAAAGACACACAATGGAAAAGCTGCATGTCACCTTCAGGCTCAGTGAACCAAGGGGATGAAATAACATCTCTGTGAATGGGTTAAGATTTATTAAAAGAAATAATCAAAACATCAGCATTCAAGGTCAGAAAGGAACGAGATACATTTCTATACCAGCGTTTGGATTAAAAATACAACATATCGGCAGGCTTTTTTTTGTTTGGATTTGAGGTTGGAAAATGCCACCAAAATTCCTTCTCCCTTCTCTTAGTCACTTGAACCATGGAAAGTGTCAAATGCTGGTTACCTGTCATGACTGTTTTCCCTACCTTAAATTTAGGTATTCTGCAGTGTGTCAAATATCAGTTTGAAAAGAGATCTCTTGTTTAAAAAATCCTAAGGTTCAACTAGAACACATGACGTCCCTATTAAAGCAGCTCCACTGCTTTTTAATGTGTTTTAGAAGGATTTATGCATTTTATGATGTTTTTAATTTTTTGTTATTCTGTTTATGAAGTTAAATTAGGTGGTTTTATATTGTCTAATGTGCTTGTCCTGATGTAATTTGTCTCTATGGTTTTCTTTTTGGCAATTGAATGTTTGCCTTACATGTTGGAAACTGCCCTGAGTCCCTTCAGGAAGATAGGGCAGTATACAAATAATAATAATAATAATAATAATAATAATAATAATAATAATAATAATTGTTATTATTATTATTATTATTATTAGCGGTCCCCTGCCATGCCTTGCTGTGGCCCTGTCTGTGTATATGTGCTTTGTGCTTTGTGTGTCAATATATTTGTGTATATGTGTATATATGTGCATTTGCATGTGTGTGTGTGTGTGTATGGATGTGAAAACTATGTGAAAAGTATGACAAAAGAGTGCATTGTAATCATTTATTTATTTTTTGTAATCATTTATTTTTTGGCTTTTAAGTCTCTTCTGCTGTGTTTTTCAGTGTTTTCATGAGTGATGATCACTCATTGGCCTGATGTGTGTATTGTGTACAAATTTGTTGTCAATTCATCCAGTAGTTTTTGAATTATGTTAATCCCACAAATCAACATTAAGATGACAATTGTCTATTATTCCGCATTGTTACAAAGATTATAGGGGCAGCATGTGGGGAAACAAAAGCCAACAGTGTGAATGGATTCTTTCTTCTCCAGCTAGTAGTAGATGACTTAGAGCAGAGATAGTGTAGCTTTGGACTTCTAAATGCCTTGAACCCAAATGCTCTAGCCAAAATGATCAGTGGCAGGGGATTATGGGAAAGTACCTGAGAACCCAAGTTACCTAATCCCTGTTCTAGAGTTGATATATATGTTAGATCTTATAAAGAATCATAGAATTGTAGAGTCTGAAGAAACCTTGCAGGCCATCCAGTCCAACCCCCTGCCAAGAAGCAGGAAAATGACATTCAAAGCACCCCCGACAAATGGCCATCCAGCTTTTGTTTGGCCTCTGTATTCCAGTTCTCTTTAGTTATTTTCACTAGCAATGGTGGTACTAAATTTGAAACTTTCTTCTATATGCAAGGCCTAAGCTCTGCTTAGCTATAGCAGTGAAATCCATGTACTCTTTATGACTGAACTGTCAAAGGACCATCACTTCCTATACAAGCCAATCTGGGATATAAGAACTTATATATCCTGATGTGGGATTTAAGAAAGGGGAGCCTTTCTTGTGGTTCTGCCACCTTCACAAAGCACATCTAGAAGAACGTGAATTCCATGACTACTCCCAAGCTTTGGAACTTCATTACTGGGGAAACTAAACTACTGCATGGTCACAAACACATTGTGAAAACTATGACAAAAGAGTGGGCCATGTGTCTAATGACTGGATTCTGGGTATATTCTAGAATATCATATTTACTTCAGTACAGTTTACTTACTTAGGTGATCCCTCGTTGTCCGAGTAGGTTAATCTTCCAAGATCAGTGTACTGGCGGTGGGTCCGTAGGTGACTGTAGAGCCCTATTCTTGACCTGCATCTTCTCCCACAGTGAGGGCATTGGTCGGGGTTGGCTTGATGCGCCTTCCTCTTGGATATAATGCACCACTGAATGTAATGCATAGCTCAATTTTGAAGGTGCACATTTTAAAAAAAGAAAGAATTGCCCTTGAATGTAATGCACCCAATGGCACACACATCAGAGAGGCAGGCAGCATGAATGAGGCTGTTTGGCAGGCCATGCCCCTCCATCAGGCCAAGGCTGGTAAACTCATGCTTCCCAACTGGCCTTATTCACGAGATCTTCAAAAACTGAGGGGAAGGTTTTGAAGGCCTCATTAATGTCATCTTTTGTGGAAGCACCCTCCCTACTGTTGTGCCATCTAGTCCCATTGCTTCATGCCATACTTGTCCTGTGACTATTACATCCTTTCTATGTGATAAAATGTGCAGTGAAGTTAACACTAATATGTTATTTCTAGGAAGGCAGTGATAAATCAAGTCAGTGTTCTGAAACCAACTATCACATTGCTTTTTCTCCCTTTATCAGCTTTAGATGACAATGATCAACAAAGCTGACAGGCAGTCAGCAGTTATCTTGACAACACTGATCTATGCCTTTACTATGTACAGATGTTCAGTGGTACACCACTACGTGAAAATCAAACAGCCACAGCCAAGTGCACCAAGTACCAAGAAGAAAGTATGACAGAATCAAATGATTGTCAGTATACAATGTCTGTTTCGGAAACAGAATAATATTTATCCATTACATTGCTAAATTTAAATATCCACACTTACATCATATAGATGTACAGCCAGTCCCCAAGTTATGAACAAGATAGGTTCTGTACAGGATTGTTCTTAAGTTGAATTTGTTTGTATGTCAGAACAGGTTCCTTATGTAAGTGCAATTCTAGACAAATATATATATTAGCTTTGGATAACATAGGGAAAAGTTAACACCCCTGTGGTGTTGCTTTGCTGTCTGTGCCCCTATTCAGAATATTTCACTTCACTTTCTGTCCCTGTGAGAATTGGATTTTGAAGAAAAAAATGGCTTCTTGTGGAAACAAGGACTGGCGAGAAAGCTTCAGTGGAGACAACTTTTCCCCATGATAACTCTTTCAGGAGTGAATTTCCCTTCCAAGGGACAGATTTCTGTCACTTCTTGTTTTTCCAGCCCTGTTCTTAACTGTGAGTCATTTGCAAGTTGGATGTTTGTAACTTGGGGGCTGCCTGTGTTACATATTACAATCTACATTAAGTGTATTCCATTATGTAGTACAGGGGAAAAATAATTCAATATGAACACATTCCAAGGGTTTAAATACAGGGCATTTGATGCCAGCATTGCCAGACTGGTTCCTGTTATGGCCGTTAGTCAATTGGCATGAAATCAAGGGCATTCAGAGAAAAAGTGATTATAACTCCATTTTTTACTCCTACTGAAGAAGAACAAAAGACCAGCTACCACCTTGAACTGATCACATTTATTCAATATTTTTTTCAAATAAGCAAGAATTTTGAAGCACATAAACAATCAAGTAGAGCCACAAAAACCCACACACACATAAATATGGTGCACTATGAGAAATACACAATATTGAAACAAAATAATACTGTACATTAACAAGATTTGAGAGACAAACTGTTCAAATTATAAGTTTTGTTTACTCACACTATAAAAAACTTTGACCTTTTAAAGAAAAATATAGTTCCAATATAAAGACCTGATCCTGAGCAACATTAAATCAGAGGACAGCACACCATCCACTCATTTCAAAAGCAGCAAGATCAGATCCTTTGTTTGCCTGAATAGGCACTTCAATTGTGTGTCATTTTTACAAAGCCTACCTTGATTACTATTACAAAAATGACAAACATCAACTCAAGAGTATGTTCAGCAAGATTCAGGAACAAAATGCAGAAATAGGTTAAGTATCCATGCACAAAAGAGGGAGAAAGCTAATTCATTCAGTTTAAGAGTAATAATTTTTACTAGATTCCTTTTCACAAACACAAACATCTCAGACTTCATTTTTCAGTAATGGATATATCAAGTTTTACATTTTTTCCTAACTCTACTGAGAATGCTGGCACTGTTATGTTGAAGAGAAACTTGACATTGCTTAACATATCATATTCCATCTGTAACAACCACACAGGTTCAACTTCTGAGCTTGGTAGAAGCACACACTATTGTTAAGATTAGAGTTTCTAAAGCTGAAACTACATTAAAAGGTAAATTGTGAACTTCAGTTTTAAAATATTTTCCCCAAACTAAAAGCTGCAGAAAACCTGTTCTTAAATAATCTACAGAAAATTTTGAAGCAGCTAAACATTTTTAAATTTCTTACACTTTCTTCATCTTAAAAATATTTGAATTAATTCAGTAGCCCATCCTCTTGAAAAATAATACCCACAAAACCCTGGAGTAGATTACAAATCTTTTGTTTTAATCAGTGTGACCAAAGGTTTGTCATCAGGACTGTAGTCTTCATAAGCAATTGGAGTTGCATCATACATTGCAGGCCGAGATTTCTTTCCAAACCTAAACCCCCAAAAATAAAGAAGAAGAAAGAGTGGAATTACACATTAATAGTTATAAATTGTTGGAAAACACCCATAATGTTTGGTAAAGTGAACAGGAAACAGGAAAAGAGGAAGACTATATTAAAGATGATATCAAAGAAACTGTCGCCTTCAGTTGCAAGACCTGATCAAGACTATGGGTGGTGGGCTTTTGGAAGTCTTTCATTCATAGGATGCTATTAAGCCAATTTGATGGCAAAAAGCAACAAACATGTATTAGGGATCTGTTGATCCACTGGTATGTGAAAGATAATTACAAAATTTATTTAAATCTGAAGTATAGGTGGCATGAGAACATACTGACCAAAGTCTTTCACACAAGTCGATGACTTGAACCTATTCAATATTTCTGGAATCATAAGCTGGATCTGATAACTTTAGGGATTCATATTGCCAATCATTTATGACTGAACCGATCCCCAAAATCGAACGCTTAAGTTAGGCAGTGCCCCAGCTGAAGTATTTCTAAGATGCTGCAGAACAGGGCACTGGGAAATGATGACAGCAGTGCCCTCCTTGTCGCCAGACACAGTGAAACATGCAATTGTGGAAAAACTTTGAGCTACCTGTTTCAACATGCTCCATGATTAGATCACAATAACTAATTCTCCAATTCCTCAATCTTCAGTACTACAGAAACCCTTCAGTTCAGCCTGAATGAGTGGTCAGATAGTTTTATCCTATAATGTATTGTCTAAAAAATAACACAACATCTTTATTTATTTATTTATTTATTTGCAACATTTCTACTCCGCCCTTCTCAACCCCCAAGGGGAGACTCAGAGCGGCTAACACTGGCAACAATAGTCGCTCTACTGATGGATTAAGGTGTACCCTTTGCACACTATGCAAACGGAAAGGAATCCTGTTCTATGACACATTGGCAGTGGACAACTCTGGCTTCCCAAATGATTCTGTGCTGCAGTTTTCAATATCCCTCTCAAATCGATTTGGTTGGCTAGGACTGATAGAGTTGAAGCCCAACAACAGCTAGATAGCCATTGTTGCCCACCTCTGAAATAAAAGGTCTCCCTCCATTTTAGGAAAGAGAATAGATACTTCTGCATCAAAGCAATGTGTCCGGATGGACTGTTCCTTGATCTTCAAAGAAAAATGACTGGAATGGGCTAGCCAATCATTGCCACAACCTTTTTGTCCCTTTTGTTTATGGTGAGAAAAATGTATGCACACAAAGTTCATCGGGGAAAAAGACATGCAGCTCCAACCACTAACAATCGAAAGCATGCACAATTATTCCATCTTTTTAGCCGTAAAAGATGGTTAATACAGTGATAAAATGTGAGAAAATCACCAGTGGAAGACAACAAACTGCAAATTCTGTGAATGATGTAGTCTGATTGCATGATAAAAGTCTCATCTGAAAACAATCTCACTTAAAGGGCAAATGTAATCAAGTACATTGATAAATTGGCTTTTCAAGATATTGAGCCAAACACTTTTGGAAATTAAAACCAAACAGAAGCATACAACTCCTACAGTGTTTTTCTATTATAACCCTAGTGGAATAATGGCTCAAACACTTCCTTTGCTTGAATGATCAGTGCTGTCTCACCAAAAACAAACTTGATATGAAAACAGCTATTTGGATTTAATAAGGAAAACCAAATAAGGATGGGATATGTGAGTAAATATGAGGTTGTCTCTCCAGTGTAAGTAAATATTTTATAACAGCATGTCACAAAACGCCATCACATTTTAAAAATGGACATTCCTATGTTCACACAAAATCTCAACAGGATTTCTAATCACAGAAAGACTTTTAAAAAGGAGAAAGGATCAAACAACATTGCATTTGTATTGTAAGCTGGGTTACCAATTTTAGCTGTTAACATCTAGAAGAGTGGGACTGATCATTGACCTCATCATAAAGGCCCATGGATTTGCCCTGCATTGTGGTGAAACTATGGGCTCCCGGTGCAGTATGTGGACAACCTGCCACTTCATGCTCCGCATTGTCCTCCTTATTGTACCCCTCATCCCATGGGGGAAAGCGTCACTGTCCAGCTTCCCCCCATTGCTGGGAAAGAAACATGGGAAGGCTCCTGTGCATTGCTTCCCCGTGTGTTGTTGGGCTCCTTGCTGAAAGTGGCCCCACTATGTCTAGGGGAATGCTAGTTAATTTGCAAGATGCTTCTGAAGAGGACTTCCTTTGATGAAGAGTTCTTTGAGAACTACTGCCCTATAGAACTATTAATAGCTGGGTAACTTCAGATATCCTTGGAGAAAATATTTCAATTTGTTTTCATGTTGCAGAATGGTATGGCAATAGCATCAGTGGCTTTCACTGATGACCTACCTGAGGAGAAGATGTGAGAATACTACCACATTAATATTCCTAGACCTATCCACAGTTTTTTACATCACCGATCACAGTATCACACTGGATCAGTTCTGCAAAACGGGAGTGTGAGGCATTGGCTGAGATCGCACATCAGAGACTATGAAGCACAATTATAGCATGATGAAACTACATACCTGATATGATGAGCAACTATGCTAGATAACTGTGATCATGCACAATGGACCACTGCATGTTTCATTTTGTAATGGGAGCACCTTTTCAGTCAACAGCACAATGTGCCTCAGGACACATGATTATGACCATGGTCATGCTGGTGGCTCTACTTGTGCAGAAGTCCTAATGACATAGCTACATCTCCCCTCTTCAGAGGTTGCTGGATTGCAAGTCACAGCAACCTCAGCACTGCAAGCATTGAGGAGCTAGAGATGGAAAGAATATTTGAAAGTATTTGAAAAATGCCCCAAAAACGTATTTTTCAGGATGAAAAACTATGATGAAAAGAATTCTGATCTGATTAGAATGTTTGCCATTTGGGAGCATTTATGTGCAAAATAGTTATTTTTCTGCAGAGATCAGCCTTTTACAGAAAACAGTATTTCAATTCAGAAATCTTCATTACTATGCAGAAAATTCTGGTTTTTTAATTGAAATCAACTGTGGGAATTTTACACAGAATAAATCCCAATTTACAATACTTTTGCACATTTACAATACTTTTGCAGTATTACTTTCTGCACATATTATTTTCCATTCAGAAAAAGCTGTTTCTTGAGTTAAAAACACTGATGGGATTGATTTATTGATTTTTTTGCAGAATAAGTCTCAAATTGTGAATAAAAAATTGCAAGAAAATGTTCTTGCAGTAGGAAGAGCATTGCCAAAATTACTCATTGCTGCCTTTGAGAATAAACATACTGAAAAACTACATTCCTAAGGAATTTTTGCCATTGCAGTTGATCATCAACTGAAGAGTCACAAAATTTCCACCTTGGACTTACCATAACCATTCTTTGCATACTTTTACTTTCCATGGCATGATTACTGTGGCTGGACTATTTTTTCTGCTTTCCCTCTCAAAAGTGGAATATGTGCCCCATGAGATTTGGTACTTCCTGCAGTTATCTACAATTGCATCTCTTCTACTGAGCTGTAATGCTGCTGTCTAGATCTTCTGCTGTTTTCATTCTCAGCCTTTTCAGTCATTGTATTTAATGTTTAACAGCTGCATTCTTATATTTTTCATGAGGATTTTGCACATTTCTACCTTAAAGGTTACTGATTTGCTTTTATTCCATTGGTCCTGTTTCATTTTGTGTATGTGTGAACACACACAGAGAAAGAGTCTCTAAAGCAGGAAAAAGTGCTTCAGACAAATTTGTTTTGGATCCCAGAAGGATGCAGTTATTCACTTAACCCACAGATTTATTACAGTGACTAACACAACAGAAATATTAAATCCTTAAAGTAAAACATATGCTTCAAGACCTTAATATTTTTGCTATGATACTCTAATAAAAATGTGTAGAGCAAAGGAATAAAGAGTAAGCTACGTGTGTGTATGCATGTTTATAAAAACTAAGTACAGAATCACATAAAATTCTGTTCTGTATCCCATATAATATGATTCTTGGGCTGCAGGTGAGGACTCGCATTAGAAGAAAATATGGTATGTGTTTTTAAAATACATACTGTCTAGCCTTGCTTATTTTCATGCACAGCTTAAAGAGGAAAAGCCAGGGTACAAGCTTATCATCTAGTCTGGTGGATCAACCTTTGTTCCTCTGTAGGTTTTGAATTTCAACTACCAAAATTCCTGACAGTCAGTCAAGTTGGTTGGAGCTTATGGGAAATGATGTCAAAAACACATGGAGGAACAAAAGTTGGGAGATGTTTGATAAAACTAGACCACCCCCATAATCCCCAAACAAACCTGGCATGTCGAATGGAGGCAATGGCACTGCTGAATTCACTGTCAATGCTCCTGCAGTTGTAGAATTCCTCATATGCCGGTCTAGAGGAGCCCTGATACTCAATGCGGCTGATGCGACAGATGCCCACAATTAGAATGATCAACATTAGGACAAATGCCACACACAGGGCTCCAATTATGATGTAGAGGGAATGGCGTGGCATGTTCGTCAGGCTCTCAGCCATGTGTCCAGACTTCCACTGTAGATCTGGAATCAAGAAAATAACTCGGTGTTGATTAATAGCCATCCAACTGGGATCATTTATATTCATTGATATACATTTTGAATTTAGCTGGTTATACAGGTTTAGGGCTGCGATCACAGACAGGACATGTTCACAAACAAAATTACACAGTGGCAACATTGCAGGGATGATTCTTATGGCCATTCTAGTAGGTATTTTGGTGGCCTTCCTGGTATGTGTGCTTGTGTGTTAGCAAGTGTTATTATATAAAGCACAGCCATCAATGTATCCTGGAATCAGATTGACAAAAAAAAAAAAAAGATTTCAGCCTAAACCTACTTTTCAATATGTATTTTTATCAAATAGAGCATCAATTGTTTTCACTGTAATATTATGACTGCCTTTATTAATCCTAGATATCAATTTTAAAATGGTTTGATTTTATTAATAATTGTGCATGTTTATCTATCTATCTATTTAATATCTCACCTTGCTCCTTGAACCAGACTTAAGGCAGCTCAGCTCAATTTAAATCAGGGTACAGTTATACCACTAGGAAACATTAGGCAAAATCTTGTTGGGCAGTTATGAATATATAACCTACAGCTATACATTCATAATTGCTACATCACAATCCCTATAGTTCAGGGCAGGCACAGGCAAACTTTAGCCCTCTGGGTGTTTTCAACTTCAACTCTCACAATTCCTAACAGCCAGTAAGTTGACTAGAATTTCAGGGAGTTGAAGTCCAAAACACCTGGAGGGCCGAAATTTGCCCATGCCTGGTTTAGGGGTTAGGTAGGAACTGAGAAAGTCACCTAAACCTCACTTACCAGTAAGCAGCCTATAGGATCAAAAGAGGTCAATTCCCCTGTGGTTTGAGAAGTGGTTGCTTGATGTTTGCTCATGTTATCCTCTGGACAAATTATCTCCAGTGCCAGGAGGATTTTTGGTAGGAATCCTTTTTCTGTGCCGTGCCAGAAACTGCTCAAGGGAGTGAGTGAGAACATCAGGCAGCTTCTTCAAAATCAACAGTGGGGGCCCTTCTACACATGACTAAAAATTTCAAAGAAACCTGTATAAAGGGGGAAGTGGCTACATGATGTTTTGGGAAAGTCTGTGTGGAATCGGGTTAACAGCTGAAAAGCACATGTTTAAAAGGTACACTTAAAACCCAATTCCGGCCAAAAATGTACATCTTCACATGACTGTATATCCCCACAGTCATGGAAAACATGTGACTTCCTATCGAACCCCTTGTGTGGACTGCTCCAGAGCTTGAAAAGTCTGAAACAGCTGATTGGGTTGTCAGAAAATGAAGCCATTTACATACAGGTGGCTCAATGGAAGCAAAGCTGAAACCTTCCAATTGATGTCCCTCCCCCCCCTTCCCCCCCCCCTCCACAATTTTGCGGCTTCATAAAATCCGCTTCAAAGGAAGGTATGAGGACAGCCAGGAACCATTTCCCGGGACTGAAAAATCTGTGTTGGGACTTGTTCATGGGTCCAGGAATTTTTAAACCCACTTTTGATGCTGTCTGAAAACGCCCCTGGATGGACACTGTAAATCCCAGCAGCTATTTCCCACTAAGTGGATTTTGAGGAGCTTGGCTAAAATGCACTAAATAGCACAGTAGTGTCAATGCTATGTAATGAATAATAATTACACAGAATTTTGCCAGTTGCATTTAAACCTAATCCATATTCATATTCTGTGCACTTTCCGATTTTTGTTTTTATTTTTTATTAAGATTATTTTGCTTAAATCTATTTTTCAAAAATAATACTGTCTATTAACTCATATCCAATGCATAATAATAAGCTTCTGTTAAGAACAAGGTTGCTTACTAAGTTGTTTTATAAATTAACCTAAGTTATTATACTCATTGCAGCCTGGAAACAGTTTTATGATTAAGGACAAAATGGAAAGGGCCCCTTACCTTTTATCATGGAAAAAGACTGAATATAAATGAGACCAAACACAAGATATAATTGTTTTTACTGCAAAATAGATGTGCCCGGGCATGTTCTGTTCAATGAGTTCAATGATTGAACTAACAGATGTGAATCAATAGTTATGGATTCAGCTATGAAATTTAACATGCTATATTCATAATTGTATTTATGACCTCTGTTCTAAGAACATCTTCATTATCTACCTGGAAGTTATTTAACATTTATAGAATCAAGATGTATGAATAATTCCATCCTTGTCTGTCATAAATTGGTACAGCTAGTTTTTGATAGTTTTATTCCTCTTCCCGTCTTTTTAGAAAAACTTTGGGGAAAATTACTTCTTTTGACCTGTGATCCTCAGATTTTGGAGCTGTAGTTCAAAAAAGTAAATTCTGAGAACAGGTGACATTGGTTCTATATGCCGTGCCACTGGGAGTTCCCAAATGGATGCTAAAATATGAAGGCCTTCACTTGGTGAGAAAAGGACCATTTTAGAACTTGGACAGGATCAAATGGGAAGATATAGTTCTTCAGATAACCTGGACATTTAGGGTCTTTTAGGTCATAACCAATACTTTTTAATTGTGTTTGGAAACAAACTGGCAGCCAAACGAAACTGTTGCATGAAAAGTGTTGTGGGGTTCTGATAACAAGCTGAAGTTAACAATCTGGAAATAGCTCTTTGAAACTGTTAAAGTTCCCAAACTGTCTTTGCATGCATATTACAGTTGCAATAACATAAATCTTGGAAAAGCAGACATGGTTTCCTTCCAGAAGCATAAACTGAGTTGCATTTTGTATTCATGTCACTTGTTCCTTCTTATCGGGCAGGAATAAAAGTGACAGGGTTGGCATCAGGAGAGATGCCTTTGTGCTATACTCAGCTATTGTCTGTAACCTATACCTGCAACCAAGCTCTCGACGGCTGTGGAATTCAGGATTCTGACTAGGATCTGAAATATCTGCTATCATGCCGCATCACATCCAGTAGGTAATAAAAGCATATAGCCACAGCAATCTCGTTCTTTCACATTAAGTCATTAAATTACATAATACTATCTCTAGAATACTGAGGCACTGTCTGAAATGCATTTCTAAGGGATTATTACATGTCTCAGGATATTAAATCCACCTGTCAGTCAACCTATTGTCTACCATGTAAAGAAGATAATGCTGACACCTGTATTGCTTCCTCAATTCTGTAGATATATCTATTTAAGGCATTACTATTTTTCCTGAGCAAGGCCTCACAGTTATTATTCCTTCATTTTATTTAAGCACATAGCATCCTACTCTTCAATTAAAATATATATTCTCGGAGCACTCCCAGTGCAGATAAAAACAATGGATTGGCTCTTAAAACAACTTACGGCTGCAATTCTGCCCACTGTTATCTATGAATGAAACCTATTGAATATTATGGGTTTTACTGAGTGGGCATGCACATGCTAAGGAGTTCATAAATGGGAAGTTTATTTATTTATTTATTTACAGTATTTATATTCTGCCCTTCTTATCCAAAGGAGACTTAAGATGGATCAGAGAACAAACATATGTGGCAAACATTCAGTGCCATTTTATACACAACTAGACAGACATAAGAGGTATATATATTGGCTTTCTTCCTCTTTGGGCATCTTAGAAGGTGTTGTGCTCGATTCCGGCCACTTGGGGTGGGAGGTGCTGTTGCTCTATCTCCTTGCCAAAGAGCTAGTTCATAACTTCCTCCTTTTTTGGATTTAATTGCCAGCATTCCTTCTGGATGCCTTAGAATACCTTCCCCTCCCCCCCACCTTTTTTATGAGTGGCCAGGAACTCACCCGTGACCCGGCTTCCATCCGGCAGCCTTTTGACTGATCCCCCTTTCTCCTTTACAGGTACCTGTACTTCCCCGAAAACCTCTCCAGAAGATCAACAAGGTATTCTGGAGAGTTAGGGATATGATATGGAAGGAGTCATGGCATGATAGAAAACTGAAGGATGAAATGATGACTGGGGCACGACTTGAGAGTGGTCACTGTTGTGATCTGCCACCAGAACAGGCAATACTGGATATTATGCTGATGTAAAGATATATCTGGGCACTGCTATAAGCTTCATCCAAATATGCATTAAGTAGATTGCTTATATATAGCCCATGAGGCTGATGAACTTTCACTCCATCTACTAAATACATGTACATGTGGCCCGCCCATTGTTCTTGTGATTGCGCCTATTGGAATGTTATTTTATGACTGTGTTTATAATTTTTTTTATTTTTTCTTGATGTAATTTGATGTTGTTTATTGTTTATGCTCTGGTTTTATTTTATTGTAATATGTTGTCCAGGCTTGGCCCCATGTAAGCCACTCCAAGTCTCCATTGGGGAGATGGTGGCGGGGTATAAATAAAGATCATCATCATCATCATCATCATCATTATTAAATATGGTGCCTCTTACTGTCACAATTTTCACTGTCCAGCTACCTACCTCCTTTGAAAGTTAATATAATTTGAAAGTTTACATAATTCAATTCATTTGGGTATTTCTTAGTGTTATATTTAGAGAGTTTGGGGTGTGCACAGACAACATTTAGTCAGAGACCTGGAGATACAGTAGTATGGTAGATAGTTTTTGCCCATGTATCACAGATTGACCTTTTTTCCTGTACAGCTATGACTTCTTCCAAAACATGAAAAACACAGTTGTCTAGAGTTAATGACATGGCATACAGGTTATACGTAGAGCAATAGCTCTGCAGTACAATTGTAGCCTTACCTAAATTCACTACCAATAAACTCATATTGGTGATAAAGATATAACTACTTAGAATCTGAGAGTTGGAAGAGGCCACAAGGGCCACCCAGTTCTACCCCTTCACATGCAGGAATACATGATCATAGCATTCCCATCCAACCTCTGTTAAAAACCTCCAGAGAAGGAAACTCTACCACACGCCCAGGCTACAGCATATTCCACAACTGAACTGCTCTTACTTACGGATCTCACAGTTTGCTCCAACCCATCCATGTGGGCAATGACAGGTATAGCCATTGGGCTGGTCTATACACATTCCACCATGATGACAAGGATTACTCTCACAGTCATTTATATTGATGTCACATTCCTCACCTTAAAACAGAGAAGAAAGACAATTCAGTGTTGCAGATGTAGAACAACTTGCCTGCATCCCTCTCTATTTTAGACATGCAGTCATATTGCTTGTGATGCACTAATTAACGTGCTCCCAGTGAGGAGCAAATTACATTCTTGTGCAAGCAGTTCTTACCGCTAGCACCTTCACTTCATGTTACTTGTTATTAGAACAAGATCTCCCCAGGGCTGCACAGGAGTGAACTGGATTTGAACAGCAATCAAACACACAGTGATGCATCTGCATAGCAAAGCAATCAAACTTTAGTCAGGAGTGATTTGAATATTCAATAGAATCAGATCATTGTAACCAGTCCCCAAAATGTTCCTTTTATTGCATTACAATTGTTATTGGCACTCTGTGAATGAGTTGAAATAGCTGAGGTTTTCCTGGAGATTAGATGTCTCTTGGATTTGTTAGAAATTTGAAAACGACCAAATAAAATCATACAGAAATTTTTCTAAACAAACTCATTTTAAGGCTAGTGGGCCCTAAGGCAAATATTAACTACTGGTTCCTATAAAAATACAAAATACTCTCCATATAATTTAATAAACAGAATGAATTGCAGATGAAGAAGGGGGATATAAAAATGAGGAAAATGCAAAAATCATGGGGATGCCTTTAGGATACTTTGATTCAAGTCTTTCAATAAGAGCACAGGAAATTGGAATTGACCACTTAAGCAATAAAATTTAGGAATTCTTTGAAGTTCTTTACATCTTATCAGTATTAACAACAGTGGAATTTGTTATGGTTATATTCTGAATAACATCCTCCCATTAATTATTCCATGGGAAAATGAGTCATATGTATAATATGTAAAACAATGTGTATCATGTTTAAATCAGTATGTTTACTACATTCAACCAAACCAAACATTCTTTTGAGAATATTCAGCTAAGGAGCCTGTGCCAAAATTTCACTTTAAAATTAATTAGGGCCATGGGTGGATGAGGTTTTTACTGATTCTTAAAGAATATGTAAATTTCATAGGAGACTTTCTGCTGCAAAATGCTGACAGCCAAGTCAAATGTCATAAACAATGTGGAACAACAGTCCCATACAAAACTAAGTAGATAGTACCAATGGAGATTGAGGAAAAGCGGGGAGAAACTGCTATATGAATCATCAACAAAAATTAGTGCAACCCCATACCATCCTCTCATAGATTATAGAGTTGGAGGAAAGTTTTGATTTCCAGAAAGTCAGAACTCAGCAGTGACAGATTTTTGGCTACAGTTAGAAACCAATACTATAACTGCATCAAAGGTTGTCATTGCTTGTTCAACCACAGTTACTGGAGCGGCACAGTCCAGTAATTACTAATTAGCTGTACATTCTAGTACATCTAGGGGGAAAATATTATGCCTCAAAGCAGCCCTGGCCAATGAATGCTCTTCCAACGAATAGAATTATCTGACCTCTGATGGATTTCCCAAATTTTAATCAAAGTGTCGCACATCTGCCACACTTAACACTACTCAGTTAATATACTGACTTTCTTTCTCTTTGAATATAATTCTTTGTAATTTCCAAAATATCATTTTTGCATTCAATCTTGTTTCAGAAAGATATTGAGTAAGAAATGTTTCAACAGTTGGGTAGCTAACTAAGCTCTTGTTAGCAATTTTCTTTACATCTTAGTGGCACTATATCAAATTAGTTCTAAGCAATGGGAACAGGCTGTTAAAGCTAAGCCTAACAGCAATATATCTATCAGGGAAAAAAGACTTAAATTGATTGCCAACTAACTGGATCATTTCCCATGTTGTCCTTTTATTCATGGACCAAACATTTTGAAAAGTGAAAAGGCCAAGATTAAGCTAACACTATGCAACTGTGAGTTAAATAAAATGAGAGACTATCCAAACTGCAGAATTATAGCTATTTAACAGCAGCTTAACCCCTATGTCTCAATTCCATGCAATTGTGGGATTTGTAGTTTGTTGTGGCACAGAGCTCTCTGACAGAAGGACAAATATCTTAGAAAACTACAAATCAGAGAATTCCAAAGCACTGAGCCATGGCAGCTAATGTGCGCCAAACAGTCCTAATTCTGCATTATGGATACAACCTGCATGTTGAAGCTGAACAAATAAACTGGTTTATGGACAATATTTGAGGAAAAGATGCTTCCTTGTATGTAAGAAAAACAACACATCAATTAGTATGCATAATTTTCCATCATCAGAACAAACAGGACAACATTTAAGAAAAGGATTGTGAAAATCTATTAGAGTGTGTCTTTGATCAATCCTACCAAAGACATCAGTTGTTATGTCCATTACAAAATAAGGTACTGTTTCTCTCTCAACTTGCCTAAAAGAAAATCATACTTTTTGAAGGATATCTGTAAATCTTTAGGAGTGTAGAGCAGAGAATATATGCTGTAGTTTAGTTCAAACTGTAAAAAACATTTGAAGAAAGGCTGTTTATTAGTTTAAAGCAGGGGTCCTCAAACCTTTTAAACAGAGGGCCAGGTCGCAGTCCCTCAAACTGTTGGAGGGCCGGATTATAATTTGAAAAAAAAAACCATGAATGAATTGCTATGCACACTGCACATATTTTATTTGTAGTGCAAAAAATACTTAAAACAACACAATAATTAAAATGAAGAACAATTTTAACAAATATAAACATATTAGTATTTCAATGGAAAGTGTGGGCCTGCTTTTGGCTGATGAGATAGGATTGTTGTTCTAATTGTGTGCTTTCAAGTTGTTTCAGACTTAGGTTGACCCTGAGCAAGGGCCGGGTAAATGACCTTGGAGGGCTGCATCCGGCCCCCGGGCCTTAGTTTGAGGACCCCTGGTTTAAAGCATGATTATCTTTTTTTAAAAAAACATTATTTTTCAGTGGAACAACCCTTTTTGGCCTTTCTCATATTTCTATGTAAATTTATTATTTTCTATTTTTCAGGTTAATAGCCTTCTAGGTCACTCCCAACCACAAAGAAAAAAGAATATTGCAGATAGGGTTACAAATGTGTTTGTGACACATCCAGTTTGATTCCCCCAAAAAAGGAGTGGGGCCACAGCTTTTCTCTCAGTTGTTGCCAACCCATTTTCTTCAATTACCAAGAGGCAGAGAGTTTCGTCTGAACAGTAACCTGAACAACTGCAGACAGCTTCTGAAATTCAGCTGAAGGGAAGCAGCTACCACTTGTTATCAGTGTTCATCTTGACATATTAGCCACACCACAGAACAGAAATAGGGCATAATTTGAGATTTACCAAAGGAAAGAGAAGGGGATTTAGCCGCCATCCCTCACCTTCTTCCTCTCCTTCATTTTGTACTTTGAAGAATATCACTTCATTTTTAATTTTAGAGCAATATCATGCAAATTCCCCATTTCTTCAGTGCAGGGATTGGGGATATAGTTGTCCCTCTGTATTAATGGATTAAATCATCCATGGATTAAATCATCCAGAGCTAAAAATGTTTTAAAAAAGTACTACCCAAACCCTTAATTTTGCCATTTTATATGAGGAACACAATTTTGTTATGCCATGTTATGCAATGGGGCATGGACTTTGGTATGTGGGTCCTGGAACCAAACCCCATCAGATCTCTCCATCTAGTCTGCTGAAACTAGTTCCCAACAACCGTGACTTTCGGTGAAACCATATGAAATACAATTGTCACTGAAAGTTTTCAACACTTTTTTTCATGCAATTGGTTATAATTAACATAGACGATGTAATTTTCAAATAACTTGCCCGTAAATCCAGGTGCACAGAGGCACGTGGCATTCAGTCCTTCACTGTCACAAGTTCCTCCATTCTGGCAGGTGATGTTGACACATGGATCTTTGTACAATTCACAGTGCCTTCCTGAGAATGGTAAATGAAAGCAGATGAATATTCACATTGTTTGAGTTTAAGGCTGACAATATATACAACAACCACATTAGAACAGCAGAATAAGCAATAATATTTTAGAATTGAGGATTATCAGGAAGAAGGCTAATGAATGCTGCCTCTTTGCCCCTGCTGCAAGCAGAACAGCTAAACAACCAAGAGCTCCTTCCATCTATGTTTTGTGTATTTTGATGTGTGAACTGGTTTTCATTTCTTTTTTTAGGGTCATCTTCCTTTAAAGCCAGTAGCATCATCCACACATTCTCTCCATGCCTGTTATACAACACCTGATTAGTGATTGAAGAAAAATGGAATATAGGGTTTCTTTGCAAAGCTATAATGCAATTGTAGGTTTCAGCTTGGAACTCAATGAACTGACAAGAACCAAGGCTCACAGGGTCAGAGAACAGAACATTTTGATGAAAAGTAACTGTGTCAACTTATGGCAGCCCTTATGAGCCCTCGCATCCCCAGTTCCCTAGGTTTAAATCATGGTTTCTCAACCTGGGGGTCGGGACCCCTGGGGGGGTCGCGTGGAGGCATCAGAGGGGTCGCCAAAGACCATCAGAAAACACAGTATTTTCTTTTGGTCATGGGGGTTCTGTGTGCCAAGTTTGGCCCAATTCTATCATTGGTGGAGTTCAGAATACTCTTTGATTGTAAGTGAACTATAAATCCCAGCAACTACAACTCCCAAAGGTCAAGGTCTATTTTTCCCCAAACTCCACCAGTGTTCACATTTGGGCATATTGAGTATTCATGCCAAGTTTGGTCCAGATCTATCATTGTTTGAATCCACAGTGATCTCTGGACGTAGGTGAACTACAACTCCAAAATTCAAGGTCAATGCCTACCAAACCCTTCCAGTATATTTTGTTGGCCATGGGAGTTCTGTGTGCCAAGTTTGGTTCAATTCCATCATTGGTGGAGTTCAGAATGCTCTTTAATTGTAGGTGAACTATAAATCCCAGCAACTACAACTCCCAAATGAAAAAATCAATCACCACCCCACCCCCAACTCCACCAGTATCCAGATTTGGGCATATTGGGTATTTGTGCCCAGTTTGGTCCAGTGAATGAAAACACACCCTGCATATCAGATATTTACATTACGATTCATAACAGTAGCAAAATTATAGTTATGAAGTAGCAACAAAAGTAATTTTATGGTTGGGGGCCACTACAACATGAGGAATGGTATTAAGGGGTCGCGGCATTCGGAAGGTTGAGAACCACTGGTTTAAATACATCCCTTTCCAAACTGTTTCTTCTATATATTCAACCACTAATTCTCTCAATCTGGCGAATGTATATTTAGATCAGAAAAGTATTCTTCTCCAGCATACACTATTTTTACCACTTCACTAACTTGAATAAAACAAAGTGACCTGGTTGTCATTGGGAGTAATGACTTATTTCCCAGGTCAATCATTATTAGTTCAGACCTAACATTATAGTAGTGCTAAAGGGAAGATATTGTTCTATCAAAATTATAGTCTGCGTTGGCCAGATTCAGCTGTACAACAGGATCCCAGAAAAGCTGGACAATAAACATGGAACCTCCATACTGTGTATCAGCTTCATGATTTTTCTAACGCAACCTTCCCCTGAATTGGTGCCTTTCTGATTGAATACTTGACCACTCTCATAATTCCCAGCCAACATAGCCAATGGTAAAGCCAATGGTCATGTTTCTTGGAGACAGTTGGAACTCTAGTCTAGTATATCAAAGAGGCAGCAGAAGACCATTATTTATTAACTGAAAACACAGTGAACATATAAAGCCAAATTAGAGCAAAACACCTGTTACCTTCATATTCGGGAGGACATGCACAGTCATAGTTATTGATCAGATCCCTGCAGGTGGCACCATTCTGGCAAGGGGCTGAAAGGCATTCATTGTATTCCTCCTCACAATAAAGTCCATGATATCCTAAAACATGCAACAGAAGAAAATGGAGCATATACTGCAATGGTTATTCAAGTAATAGTTTAATCATCCTGGAGAGATGACTTGTCTGAAAGTAATAACAATGTGCAGACAAATCCTTTACAGGCAATGTAAAATCACTGAGTATATAAACAAAAGGCTTGGGAGCCAGCTTCTGGAAAAAATCTAGAGCCCTTATATATACACCAGTGGTTCCTAACCTTTTGTTTTGACCAGGGACCACTTTGACCAGAGATCATTTTAACAAAGGACCACTCTTCAACATTAGTACTAAAAGGGTTACGAATCAGTGTTTGGCCAACTTTAGATTCACGTCGGAGTGCTGATGCAGAAAATTGTATTGGATAGATCACATCAGCTCTAGTTTCTGATACAGAACATATGCCATGATCAGCAACAGGGAAGGAGTGGCAGGCAGCTTGAAAGGTGCAGTAATAAAACAAAGAGGAAGGACGCTCATGGACCAGATTTTCGTCCTCATGGCCCACAAGTGGTCCGTGGCCCACAGATTAAGAACCACTGCTCTACATGTTCAATAGTAAGAAATATTTTTGTCTGATTAAGAAGCAATCCAAGTTTCTTATTAGAAAACCAAGTTTCTGTGAGAATCATTATTATATTCTCGGGATTCATTTATGTACTACACTAGCATAAGCAATATAAAACCAGTAGAAATCTTAGGCAGTCATAGTATTGTTTCATACTGTAGCTAGACCTCATAGCAAGAGAAATCTAAAGGATAAGTCAAATAGTGAATTTAATAATGCTCATAATGATGGTCTCTTGCATTAAATGGATTAAGATATGACATTACTTGATATTAGAGATTCAAATTATTACAAAAGGTCAAATAAGAGAAATAAACAGTAAAGTACAAAAAAGTGCTACCCTCTTTCTCAGCCAAATGTTAGAGCAGCCTACATTGAGCCTACTTATTATTCCAGAAAATAAGCATTTTACAGAATAAGACACTAATTGTGCATTCATGTAGTTTCTTTCTTACCAATTAATTGTATTGCCCATTGTAAAAATACATGTATTTTGATTTGTATATAGAGAAATAAGGAATTATTTGTTCCTTATTTCCACCGCCATGTTTCTACTAAAGTCTCTTCTCCTATATGGGAGCCACTGACTAATTACTGCAGCTGCACAGCTTTCATTCATTTCCACCAGATTAGTGCAAAAATCTTCTTGCAAACCCTACTTAAATAGATACTGCACAGCAGCTATGATTGCTGAATTATGCTAATTATTTTCCTTATTAGATGCTAGGCTTCAGTTCCATGCCACCACCTTTATTTAACTAGCGAGACCTTTCAATTTTCATTTATTTAAATAAATCATAATCTTCTATGCTTGTTCGTGAGATTACACTTCATCAGTTAAGTCATATAGAAATCTTCCTATGTTCCAGCCTGAAGATGGACTGAGGAGAAGATCAATATATAAAACCATCCATAATAATTGAAATAGTATTATTTTTGGCTTTGATCCAAAGGCCCTCCAGTTGTTTGGGTCTGCAAAGCACTCCAGTTTAAGTAGAAGCCTCTTCTGCATGATCAGCAGGGATCAATGGTCTTCATCATATAAACACAGACATATAAGCTTGTAAAGCAGGGGCTCTTAACAAGAGATCCAAGGACTGTGGAAAGATTTCAGGGAATCAATGAGCTTGAATTAGGGTGGGTGAAAAACAATTTTATTTTCTCTGGCCTTTAACTAAAATTTAGAAATTCCTTCACTTATGAATGTATGCAAAAGTATTCGTTTCATATCATGTTACTCATATTTCTAAATTTCGGCTGAAAATGACCATTTCAACAGATGTGTCTGGTACTGAAATTGTGGGAAAGTTGTAAAACATAATTCTGAATAATACTAAAATTTAATTTAAAGACATGTCAATGTTGAGTGCTATAAAACTATCTGACACTATATTCTGCGAAGTGGTCCATGGTTTCCACCAACTTGCAAAGGGGTCCGTGGAACAAAAAAGTTGAGAACCTCTGTTTTAAAATGTCCTTCTCCTTGTAAGATCAGGGGAGCATAACTTTAGGGTGGAAGTCATTTATTGGCATTTGAGTATATATATATAAAAAACAGCCACAAGAAGTGTCATTGGACCCAAACCCCTGTTACTGATTAAAATGACAGTAATATATTTTGTTATACAAGGAAGCATATTTCAACTGCAACTTCTCTGGTCTCAGAAGGAGGGAAGAGCAAATCATTGTAGATCAGTCATGCCTTGGGCCCAATGGCTGATGAGAGGCCTTTTCTCCATAAGGAAAAGAAGAGCAGTCAGCATCAGAGGGATTTAAGTGTCTCCAACACCATCACCCCCTTTTCTTCTCCATCCTTACTTATTTAGACTGTAATCTTATTAGTAGGGAACTATCCATGCTTTGTAAGCCAATCTGGGAGCAGTGGATCCTTGGTATCCATTGGGGTTTGGTTTTAGGATCCCCCGTGGATACCAAAATCTACCAATGCTCAAATCCCATTACAGTAGAGTCTTGCTTATCCAACCTTCGCTTTTCCGACCTTCCATGTTATCCTATGCTCTTATCGAACACCCCCTTTTCCTCCAGGATTTCCCCTTTAGTGGCCATGTTTTTAGTTTCCTTCTTTCATCCCCATTTTGGCCGGTACCACTGTGCGGACTCCGAAGGAGAAGCCAGAGCATAATGGTTCTGGTTCTCCTCTGCATGCAGAAATGGTTCGGTCTGAGTTGGAAGGAGGGACCATGGCTACGCAGGAGTTTGTAAGAAATATGGGAAGAGAAAAGAATTAAGGTGGGCAGTTGTCTTGAGGATTTGTTGAAGTGTACTATCTACCTTTCATTACAATTCCTTGTTTGTTACTCTTTTTTCCATCAGTGATAAGTGAGTTCTCTCCTTGTGTCCAGAAAACCAAACAGAAGGAGAATTCATTCACCACTGATCTTGCCAGGATAGAAATATGGACTTCAACTCCCTGAAGCCTCCATATTATCCATCATTTTCATTTATCTGATGTCCTGCTGGCCCGTTTATGTCAGATAATGAGACTATACTGTATATATAATTGCAGAGTAAAATGGTGTCTCTTATATAAAATGGCAAAATCAAGGTTTGCTTTTTGGTTTTATTTACTTATTTACAATGCAGTATTGGCAAACTGTGGGTGGTTGATTAAATCTGTGGATACAGAATCTGTCCATATAGAAAGCTGACGGTACTACAAACAAACAATTAAACAAATAGCTTTCTTTCTCTCTTTCTTTATCATTGCAACAAACCTGTGAGATAAGTCAAACTGAAAGTGTGAAACTGGCTCTAATGGGTGTCATAGCTCTGTGGGGGACTAGAAATGGATTTTCCAACATCCAGTCCAATATCTAGCTACTAAAGTAAAATCTGAAATTAAAAATTCTGTTTTCCTTAATCTCATTTTAAGTGAACATTCAAAGTAAAAACATAAATTAACTTGGGTTGCTGTAAGTTTTTCAGGCTGTATAGCCATGTTCCAGAAGCATTCTTTCCTGACGTTTCGCCTGCTCTACAGCAGGAATCTTCGGAGCTTATGAGGTCTGTTGGAAACAAGAAAAATGAGGTTTATATATCTGTGGAATGTCCAAGGTGGGAGAAGGAACTCTTGTTTGTTGGAGGTCAGTGTGATTGTTTAAATTGGCCACCTTGATTAGCATTTAATGACCTAGCAGTTTCAAGGTATAGCTTCTTACTGCCTAGGGGAATCCTTTATTGAGAGGTGCTTAGCTGTCCCTGATTGTTTCTTGTCTGGAGTCCCCCAGTTTTTGAATGTTGTTCTTTTTTACGATTTTAGAGTTTTTTAATACTGGTAGCCAGATTTTACATAAATACATAACTTTATTTCTGTTATTTGTATGCATTGTAATTTTTATTCTCATTGTCATCTCTTCTAAAGTATATATAAAATAGCATTCCATTTTCATTTAAAGGGGAAAAGTATAGAAAACAACATCCCATGTTTTCTTTTGCTGTATGCTTCAAAGCTCCAGCCAAACTTTGGATTACACTGTAAAACAAAGGCAAGGCACTTGCAGTGCAATGCTGAATGTATTACTTGCAAGCAGTCCTATTATTAATGTCTGGTCTGATATATAACAGAGAGGTGCTTTCAATAATAATAAAATCACCTGTGAACTTGTTTGTAATAGGACATGCGGTAAGTTAGAAAATGACTGAGGAATGATATAGAATAGCCTCACCATTTTCTAAAAAGAGATCAATAGTCACTGTTTAGTGCAACTCAAATAACAAAGCAGAAGAAACCAGAGATGTATTCGATGTAACCTCAACTGAATCCCTATTTATAAAATAATCCAACACCCTACAAAAGCTTTTGCAAATGAATTCATGTAGCTCTCAATATTTGCTAACCTCTGAACGATATGAAAAAGCTTTTTGTCCTAAATGTCCATTACTCTTAGTAAATATGCCATCTTGCATGCTAAGCAAATGATGGCTCTAGGAATGAGTAGTTACTTGATGTATAGAGCAACCAGGCAAGAAAGACCATTGTGTAAAGGGAAAAAGACTTTGTTTTCCACTAGAGGGCAGCTTCTGCCTTCCACACTTCTCAAGCCTCAAGAAGAAAGGACTTTGAGTATTTTCACCCTGCTAGCGAGAGAAGGAGGTCGATCCCAAATCTCCTTCCATCTGATAATTAGAAGAATGAGAAAAAGCTCTAGATAAAAGGAGACTCTTTCCCCATGAGATGGAAAAATCGTGTCCAAATGTGTGGGCGTGTCTTTTCTATATTCTAACTGGGCTTCTTTTTCGATGCTCATTTGGAAGTGGTTTTTTAAACACCTCTCCTCCTCATGAAATAATGCAGAGACAGCTCTGGTGCTGTTTGTCCCTGTTGAGCGTGGATTGCTCTCCACGTGAGATTGAATATGCCAATAAGGAAAAATGCATATAAAAGGAGAGCTCTAAAGATGAACTTGGCACACC